TTTAATGAAGAGAAGGACGAGGGGGGACATGATAGCAGTGTTCCAATATCTCAGGGGCTGCCACAAAGAAGAGGGAGTCAAGCTATTCTCCAAAGCGCCTGAAGGCAGGACAAGAAGCAATGGATGGAAACTAATCAAGGAGAGAAGCAACCTAGAACTAAGGAGAAACTTCCTGACAGAACAATTAACCAGTGGAACAACCTGCCTCCAGAAGTGGTGAATGCTCCAACACTGGAAGTTTTTAAGAAGAGACTGGACAGTTTTTAAGAAGAGTCTGAAATGGTTTCGGGTTTCCTGCCTGAGCAGGGGGTTGGACTAGATGACCTCCAAGGTACCTTCCAACTTTACTACTACTACTACTACTACTACTACTACTACTACTACTATTATTATTATTATTATATACCACAAATGATAAATTGTTGAAATAAATTTAATATTTTGCTTGGTTATGTTATACTATAACTGCAAGATAATGCTAACGTGCTTTTGGTATTAAACCAATTTTTGTATTTTTGTACTACTTACTGTCTCCAACTTCTCTTGCATTCCGATGTCAACCTGTTGTGCTTTACTTTTGAATTTGGGGAAAACATGACCATGCTACAACGGGGAAAAAAAGGCTCTAATATATATGATGATATTTAGCACTCTATTACAAGTAAATCCCAGTATCAGAAAAAAAATATTTTCCTCAAGCCCATATGAAACAAGGAAGAATTAATATCTGCTCCATCCTCTAATCAATGGTCAATGCTTTCTTCTAAGGCAATTTCATTTTTATAAAACTCACTCATCAACTGTACGGATGAATTTACTACAATGTGGTGCTTGGACATAATTACATGCATGAAGCAAGGATATTTTTTAAAAAAACATTGATCAACTACTACTATCTATATCAACAATTACAGTCCTGTTGTATGTTGTGCAATAGTTTTAGAAATTTGAAAGTAAGTATAAATATTTTAACAGTATTGCGAATACATACATACAATTTCTAGGCTGCCCACATTCCAAATGACTCTGGGCAGAATCAAAAACAGCAGCACAGTACGAAGGAAAACAGCTGCAAAATAGCCACTATCGGGGAACAAAAACATTTATCCACATAGCTAGCAATTCCTGGAGTCTGTTCTTCTATCTCAACCCAAGGCCTGAAGAAAATCCCAAATTTTAGAGAACACTTAAGGATGGCCAAGGTCTAGGCAGATCTCCAAGGGGATGTTATTCCAAAAGGGCAGTTGCAATAACAAAGAAAGCCATTTCTGGGTTCCACTAAATCAGGGCTCTTCAAACTTGGCCCTTTTATGACTTGTGGACCAACTCCCAGAATTCCTCAGTCAGGCACACTGTCTGAGGAATCCTGGGAGTTGAAGTCCACAAGTCATAAAAGAGCCAAGTTTGAAGACCCCTGCACTAAATGAAGTTACTTAACTGATGGGACCTGAAGAACACAGAGGACAGGAAACTTAGTAAGAGACTCTAAGATAACTACACCTTATGCCCTATAGGGATGAATTTTCAATATGTTTTGAGTGACACAACTACTATTTAACAAAGGAGGATGGATTAGAAGTAACAGAAACACAATTGCAATCTTCAACACTTTTATCCTTTTTGATTTAATAATATGCTTCTAAGTATACAAGCAATGCCCCTTGATATCTTAAATCTAATTAAGATATCAAGTGATTGAGGAAACATTTCATTTCTGGGTCTATTTCACCACTAAAATAAAAAAACATGATATATATGCAAAATAGAAAAATTGATTAATATGCAAACATTGTTCTATTTGCAGAACAGAAATTAAAATTTGGATGGTTTTACCTCAGAATCCAAATTTTAATTTTATAAAAATAATTAAATATTGTTTCAGATTAGTTAGTTGGACTCAGCTTCCAAAATTAAAACTGGGCATAATGAAGAAATTTATAATTTTATTAATGAGTGGTCCTATAAATTATCATTTTAGGTAATCATAGTATTACCAAATTTGAACTCATCTGCCTGGATAAATTAAATTAAACTAGTATTTTAACTAGTATCTTTATTTCTTATCCTTCAGCCCATTTTATATTAAATATATACCAAATCTTTATGTAACTAAAAGAGACAATTGTTTTTATTTATTTATTAGACTTCTATGCCTCCCATCTTGCCGAGGTGACTCTAGGTTGCTTACAGATATTCAATAAAAATACCACCTAAAACATTAAAACAATAAACTGTTATTAAAGCGACAAACTAAATTTACCAGTGTAATTTGCACTCACTGTGGTGCTGATGTATAACCTGATGATTTAATTTTGTTATGAAAAACCAACGGCTTGTCTTTTATTTGGGTTTTTGTACCTAAATTAAGAAACATCTATAGTTAATATCAATTTCATAGCTAAGCATCAAGAAATACATATACAGAGAGAAACTAAAAATATACTTTGGATATCATGAGCCACATATATCAGGTAAGGGGACTTCCACTAATACAAACAACACCTGATCTGTTAATATTATCCATTCCAGTGTTACATGGACACAAAAAGATATGTAACTTTTTTCCCAGTACATTTGTTAGACTAAATAATTCTGTTTTTAAATCATCATTTTAAGCTAATCTTAAATTATTTAAAAAAAAATCTTTTAGAGACAATATGAAACATCAAAAGACATCAGACACAATAGAACTTATTGGTCAAGAATGCATATATGGTTAGAGAAAATGACTAAAAAAAGAAACATAGATTTTTAAGCCAGAATTATTTTTTGTTAGGTATAATTGTAGGAAATTATGAGAAGGAATGTGTATATTTAATGTTACATGTATTAACTGCAGCGAGAATTGTATTTGCTCAATATTGGAAAGATGAAGAATTATCAGCAGAGGAAGAGATAATATAGAAAAGTTTAGATTGTGCAGAAATAGACAGACTGACACTGAAAATGAAAGAGAAAGAAGATTCAAAATACTTTAGAACAGGGGTAGTCAACCTTGGCTCTTTTATGACTCGTGGACTTCAACTCCCAGAATTCCTGAAAAGCTAAGCTGGCTCAGGAATTCTGGGAATTGAAGTCCATGAGTCATAAAAGAGCCAAGGTTGACTACCCCTGCTTTAGAACATGGNTGCTCCCCACAGTCACATTGCTATGATCCAGCTCTTGGCAACTTACACCAGTTGCAGCATCCTGCAGTCATACAATTGTCATATGTGATCTTCGCAGGCAATGTCCAACAAGCAAATTCAATGGTAAAGCCAGCAGATAGTCACAAGTCACAGTTGTTTAATAATTGTGGGTAATTTGCTTAATAACCATGGCAAAAAGTTTATAACATTGGGCATGGTCCATACGATACCTCAATTAATGATTGCGCTGCTTAAAAAATTATTTTCTGGTCCTTATCCTGTAAGTTGAGGACTACCCTGTACTTCTATTTACAGGTTGTTTTCTATTAAGCGGCACAATTTCAGGGAACATGAAGAGCAGCAAAAAAGGGGGGGGGGAATTATGGTCCTTATGCGGCACATAGGCTGCCCATTCTTGCTCGATGTGAATTGGAGATACCATAAGAAAAAATATAAATAAAATCCTGGTGACACATCTAATATTTGCAACTTCACATACCTTTAGTTGAAATTACTAACGTTAATATACTTAAAGATCCTAGGCTGTCCCCTAGTGCCTAGCAATGATATTTTACTGATTCCATTTTTTATAGAAAAAGTCTCCATTTTAACCATAAGAAATCTCTGTCAGCTAAGAATAAATGGTACAAGTCTCACTTTTTAAAAACTCTAATATTTTTTGGAATAAAGGGAAAACTTTCTTCCCCTAGGGAAAAACATTTCCTTATGGAGCTGTCAGCCATGTATACAATTCTACTGTCAGAACTAAAGTGAAATATGTGTCCTTAAAATGAGGGAGCCAAGACTGAGTAATGCCTTTAATTAATATAGAATAAAGTGGAATTATTAATCCTTGTGATCTGTATAATATGTTTCCATTAAGAAAAAAATTACCTTTTTAGCAGCAAGTCACATTCTGGCTCTTATATACATTAAGATGAGCTACTGTAGATCTTCTCACTTGGCCAACTCCTAAACAGATCTATTCCAGTTGTTAACTGATTTTTCTATTTTATTATTTTCATAAATGAAAGAAAACTTGTTGAATTTCTTCTGGCTGTTTCTGTTCTATTATTTGGAATTTTGATTTTATTTTTATCATATCGGATCAGAAGACAAAGAAATAAGGATAGCTAAGAACATAAAAAACTAAAAATTAATGTACCTGAATAAACAGTTGGTTCTCCTATAAGGTTTGATTTGAATGCCAGCAAAGTTCTGTCAGCTAAACCACAAGCTAATAACTCTCCATTTCCTAGAACAATGAGAACAGCAAATTAATCTAGTATAAATAAAAAATACCAAAAAATATAGACAGACAGATTCCCAGGCCAGAGTTGGCCATTGTAGTAAACACAGAACTAGTTAGCTTTAAGGTTTCCAAGTACTCCATCAAATAACTATTAATATTAATAAACCATAGAAAGTTGTCATTTTCCCCCTCGTACCTGCATGCTGAATACAGCATATGGCAGTTGGTTTATCAGTTACAGTAATTTGCCTCACACTTTCAGTTGGAGGAGATTTTCCAAGAGGATAGTCTTCCTTATTTCTTCTTCAATAATAAAACAAAAATAAAAAGGGGAAAGAACAATTAGTGAAGCAAGAATAAAGGAGATTTAGCATTTCTTTCTATACTACTAATTTAAATTGTGCAAATTGAGCAACAAAGATAATTAGAGGTCTGGAGGCTAAAACATATAAGGAACGGTTGCTGGAATTGGGTATGTCTAGTTTAATGAAGAGAAGGATGAGGGGGGACATGATAGCAGTGTTCCAATCTTGTGGAAAACGAAAGGACTCTTACGAATTCCAGAGGGTGTTAGCAGAGAAGTTTATTTGCGCAGGTTCAGAAGCACAAAGACAGGCAATTCTGAACAAGGAGGGCGGGATTAGACTTCAGTTTTATATTTTCCTTTTCTTAGGAACAAAGGACTACACATTGAAATACACATTGTAATACATTAGGATTGTTTCTCATGGGCATACAATGGAAGGTTTTGCTACATACAAAGTATCCATGTGCAATGCGCATTTGGTTAGTCACACATTACTGACACAGAACTTTCCCAGTGATTATGCATTACATCATTATTCTAGCAATTATGCAGACAAATCATTATTCCAGCAATTGTTCATTATTCTACCTTATTTTACCACATTACCAATATCTCAGGGGCTGCCACAAAGAAGAGGGAGTCAAGCTATTCTCCAAAGCTCCTGAAGGCAGGACAAGAAGCAATGGATGGAAACTAATCAAGGAGAGAAGCAACCTAGAACTAAGGAGAAACTTCCTGACAGTTAGAACAATTAACCAGTGGAACAACCTGCCTCCAGAAGCGGTGAATGCTCCAACACTGGAAGTTTTTAAGAAGACTCTGAAACGGTATAGGGTTTCCTGCCTGAGCAGGGGGTTGAACTAGATGACCTCCAAGGTCCCTTCCAATTATTATTATTATTATTATTATTATTATTATTATTATTATTATTATTATTATTATTATTATTATTATTATTATTATTAAATACCACAAATGATAAATTGTTGAAATAAATTTAATATTTTGCTTGGTTATGTTATACTATAACTGCAAGATAATGCTAACATGCTTTTGGTATTAAACAAGTTTTCGTATTCATTGAACAATTGTACTACTTACTGTCTCCAACTTCTCTTGCATTCCGATGTCAACCTGTTGTGCTTTACTTTTGAATTTGGGGAAAACATGACCATGCTACAACGGGAAAAAAAAGGCTCTAATATATATGATGATATTTAGCACTCTATTACAAGTAAATCCCAGTATCAGAAAAAAAAATATTTTCCTCAAGCCCATATGAAACAAGGAAGAATTAATATCTGCTCCATCCTCTAATCAATGGTCAATGCTTTCTTCTAAGGCAATTTCATTTTTATAAAACTCACTCATCAACTGTATGGATTAATTTACTACAATGTGGTGCTTGGACATAATTACATGCATGAAGCAAGGATATTTTTAAAAAAAACATTGATCAACTACTACTATCTATATCAACAATTACAGTCCTGTTGTATGTTGTGCAATAGTTTTAGAAATTTGAAAGTAAGTATAAATATTTTAACAGTATTGCAAATACATACATACAACTTCTAGGCTGCCCACATTCCAAATGACTCTGGGCAGAATAAAAAACAACAGCACAGTACGAAGGAAAACAGCTGCAAAATAGCCACTACCAGGGAACAAAAACATTTGTCCACATAGCTAGCAATTCCTGGAGTCTGTTCTTCTATCTCAACCCAAGGCCTGAAGAAAATCCCAAATTTTAGAGAACACTTAAGGATGGCCAAGGTCTAGGCAGATCTCCAAGGGGATGTTATTCCAAAAGGGCAGTTGCAATAACAAAGAAAGCCATTTCTGGGTTCCACTAAATCAGGGCTCTTCAAACTTGGCCCTTTTATGACTTGTGGACCAACTCCCAGAATTCCTCAGTCAGGCACACTGTCTGAGGAATCCTGGGAGTTGAAGTCCACAAGTCATAAAAGAGCCAAGTTTGAAGACCCCTGCACTAAATGAAGTTACTTAATTGATGGGACCTGAAGAACACAGAGGACAGGAAACTTAGTAAGAGACTCTAAGATAACTACACCTTATGCCCTATATAGGGATGAATTTTCAATATGTTTTGAGTGACACAACTACTATTTAACAAAGGAGGAAGGATTAGCAGTAACAGAAACACAGTTGCAATCTTCAACACTTTTATCCTTTTTGATTTAAGAATATGCTTCTAAGTATCCAAGCAATGCCCCTTGATATCTTAAATCTAATTAAGATATCAAGTGATTGAGGAAATATTTCATTTCTGGGTCTATTCCACCACTAAAATAAAAAAAAACATGATATATATGCAAAATAGAAAAATGGATTAATATGCAAACATTGTTCTATTTGCAGAACAGAAATTAAAATTTGGATGGTTTTACCTCGGAATCCAAATTTTAATTTTATAAAAATAATTAAATATTGTTTCAGATTAGTTAGTTGGACTCAGCTTCCAAAATTAAAACTGGGCATAATGAAGAAATTTATAATTTTATTAATGAGTGGTCCTATAAATTATCATTTTAGGTAATCATAGTATTACCAAATTTGAACTCATCTGTATGGATAAATTAAATTAAACTAGTATTTTAACTAGTATCTTTATTTCTTATCCTTCAGCCCATTTTACATTAAATATATACCAAATCTTTATGTAACTAAAAGAGACAATTGTTTTTATTTATTTATTAGACTTCTATGTCTCCCATCTTGCCGAGGTGACTCTAGGTTGCTTACAGATATTCAATAAAAATACCACCTAAAACATTAAAACAATAAACTGTTATTAAAGCGACAAACTAAATTTACCAGTGTAATTTGCACTCACTGTGGTGCTGATGTATAACCTGATGATTTAATTTTGTTATGAAAAACCAATGGCTTGTCTTTTATTTGGGTTTTTGTACCTAAATTAAGAAACATCTATAGTTAATATCAATTTCATAGCTAAGCATCAAGAAATACATATACAGAGAGAAACTAAAAATATACTTTGGATATCATGAGCCACATATATCAGGTAAGGGGACTTCTACTAATACAAACAACACCTGATCTGTTAATATTATCCATTCCAGTGTTACATGGACACAAAAAGATATGTAACTTTTTTCCCAGTACATTTGTTAGACTAAATAATTCTGTTTTTAAATCATCATTTTAAGCTAATCTTAAATTATTTAAAAAAAAATCTTTTAGAGACAATATGAAACATCAAAAGACATCAGACACAATAGAACTTATTGGTCAAGAATGCATATATGGTTAGAGAAAATGACTAAAAAAAGAAACATAGATTTTTAAGCCAGAATTATTTTTGTTAGGTATAATTGTAGGAAATTATGAGAAGGAATGTGTATATTTAATGTTACATGTATTAACTGCAGCGAGAATTGTATTTGCTCAATATTGGAAAGATGAAGAATTATCAGCAGAGGAAGAGATAATATAGAAAAGTTTAGATTGTGCAGAAATGGACAGACTGACACTGAAAATGAAAGAGAAAGAAGATTCAAAATACTTTAGAACAGGGGTAGTCAACCTTGGCTCTTTTATGACTCGTGGACTTCAACTCCCAGAATTCCTGAAAAGCTAAGCTGGCTCAGGAATTCTGGGAATTGAAGTCCATGAGTCATAAAAGAGCCAAGGTTGACTACCCCTGCTTTAGAACATGGGATATATTTTATCAATGGCTAGAAAAATGAGGTAGAGAGAAAGGAGTAAATTAAACATTGGAACCCAGACAATATGTTGCTGATAAAATATTAAGGATTTGTGACTATAAAAAATAAAATATTGAACAAAAAAAGAGAACTTATTTTCTAGCGTAAGAGCACTTCATCAATGGCTGATGAGCTGAATTTCCTTTCAGTTTACCAGAGGTACTTTAACCTGGATCCTTATATTGAGATGCCCAGACTTGATAGCTTAAAAACCTGTTTCAGCTGTATCATTCTAGGCATGGACTTCTTCTGTGTTATCCAATGATTTTAATGGAGAAAATACATTCAAATCTATTTGTACATATATTCTCATTAAAAGAATGGGAAATTTCTTATGGGAAACAGGGACCTATCTGAGTATCTGTGATTCCATATCTGCAAAGGATAACAAAACATAGAGTAACATTGACTTCCTCTGAAATATCTTTCTATTTATTTCTCTGGGTTAGAAATTCCACAATTTAAAAACTGCAGGAGAAAGTCTGTGTCTGGAGCGTTTTTCTGCTATATTTCAGAAGTTGATGCATACGGAAGGAATTAGGTCTTTTGATAAGATACTTCTCTGATACCCACAATTAAGTGTAGCCACTAGACAATCTATAGCAGGCATGTCTAACTCGTGACGTCACGTGACGTTGCGCGACGTATCGGAGCTTTTTCTCCATTGCCGGCAATGGGGTGGGCACGGTTTTGGGATGATGTGTCCGGCCCACGGGCTGGCAGTTTGACACCCCTGATTTATAGCATTGATATTAATAGTGTACTGAGGTGATGAGATATGGACAAGAGTAAGTTGGCTTCTAGGAATGCCTCTAATTAGTTTGGATAGAATATCACAAACAAGCTTGGGGTAAACTGAGGCTTTGGTCACATTTGTGGTAAATAACTCTGCTTGCAAGAAAAGGTTGTTATGTGAAAACTTTGACTCATCAAATATTGACCCTTGTTTGCCAGCAGGAATCAATATTTATAGACTTATCTGGTAAAGATCCTGGCATATGATGACTTGGGATGGATAATGAATAAATACTTCAGAATATGAAATAATGAATAAAATGGGAAGGGGGGAAGTAAATATAGCTGACATTCAGCCCTCAGTTTCTTCCTTTATTCAATCTTTGCTTTGGGATGTTAGTTTCAATGTATTAGTCAAAGTATGTAATCACTGCAGAATTTAACAAATTTACCTGTAGAATTTAACAAATTTACCTGTTTTATTTACAAGTTTGGCTTTTTCCTTCTTCGGGTACAAGGGAGAGGTCACAAGAAGAGGATATCTAAAACCACAAATCCAAAGATATAATTATATATTTAAACCTACAAGATGCTCATAACAATTGACAGAAGAGCAACACTAGAGTGATTGCTCTCAGGATAAATATTTAATTCACTACAGATAATAATAGATCCCTGGTACTGCAATCACCTATATTACTTATTTATGAACAGCTCAAAATGCAGTCAGAATAAAGGATTTTCCCATTTGATACATTTTTGCAATCACATCTTAGTTGACAGAAATGTGCTAAACTGGTGCAC